AAAGAAACATTTTCATGGTTAAAAAGACACAGTTCATTGAAAACATATTAAGAGTACACACATTCCTAAACACACAGTTCAAGCTTTGAGTTTAAATATACGTACATTAGACTTAACTAATGTCTTAATTTAAGTCACTGTGGTTCTCCTGTGTTTATTTGAAACGCAACAGAAGCAGACAGTGATACTAGAATTTTCACTTTGAGGTCAGAATTTACTAAATATATTTACATTTAAGACAGTTCTGAACTAGGTGTTTGTAACCAACATACAAGACCACTTGGACTTTTGACCTTAAACCTTACAGTTTGTGAGAAAATCCCTATAAGACATTTAGCCTAATTTCCTCTATACCACAAACACACAACAGATATGTGATGATAAGGAATCTAAGGAAAGATAATAAAAGTAGCTCTTACCTGTTTCACCAACACTCATGACCAGTGATAGCACTACAAATGATCAGGATGAAACCAGCACTGTGGTTTTCACACTCTCAAGAACACACTCTGATGTGATGCATGCACCTTATATTTAATATGTGGTTATGAAACTTCACCTTCTGCAGATAGTGGTAACAAGGCCATCATCACAGTGTTGTCATTAGACTAAAGGCATAAAACAGAAGTTAAACTGTGAGAAACCTTACATCAGTCCATATAATGTTTTCAAACATATTTGTGTATGTTCCCAATGAACCAAGAAAATAATTGCTTGATAGTGCATTTTATCATTTTTGACTAGGCCTAATTAATAGCAATTCGGTAATAAACATCAACAACTTTAAAACATGCTGATGAAGCAGAAGTAGGCGTACAGCTACTTCATCTGAATGTCTAAATCCTTATTAGTCTTCTAAGCGTATTCTTATAAAACTATACATATGGCGATATTTAATATACATAAACAGTTTTACCTGTAGCGAGAAAAAAAAAAGTGAGGAAAAAAAAAAAAAACCTTAACACTGACATCATCTTTAGTCATCATCTTGATCACGTGAACCTCGTGAGAGACCGCAAGGTTGACAACTCTCACGCAGTTGACACTGCTCTCACGCCACATGCCCATTTTCTAATGCAGTGAAAAGCGCTCCCAAACGAACATGCCAATTTGTTCGGGACTAATATTATCACACGATGGTGTTTGGCGAAATATGGTAGGTCATTTTTAAATTATAGAATTATCAAATTATAGACATGGCCGATTCGCACGGGATTAAGATCACAGACATTGTTTATCATTTCCACACAGGAGAGACTTAGTGTTGTTTCAAAAAAAGGGAAATATATATCAGTATCGGCATCGGCTATCAGCCAGAATGATTTGCAAAATATCAGCATATCAGATATCAACAAAAATCTAATATTGTGCATCCCTATCTGAAACAAAGCTTTCTGGATGTTTGAATCAACCGAACCAGTATCTGCTGGTCAAACACATGTAGACTCAAAGAAAAGACCTAAAACAAGCTGAATATTAGAACAGAGTTTAATAATAATATTTATAATATCAA